AATGGTCTTTTCACAGAATTTTTTTTGGTATGTCTGTACAAAAACAAAATGAATAGTATCAAATCAAAATTCAAGCAATTAAAAAACATATCATCCATGAATGTTTTCGAAAAGAGAAAACAGATCAAATTTTTGTATTTCGACCAAATGTTTTAACTTTCAACAGTGCTTTTGAAGTTCATTTTTTATAAATAAAAACTCTGTACATTTATCTATTATTCAATAAAATATTAATCAATGAAGTCTAGTCCATAGCGAAATTGAATGCAAAAACTTTTACGAAGAAGCTTTTAGGACACACTGTACGTTATTATTGATCGCAAGTGTAATGAACTTTTTTTTAATGATCAATATCTTCCTAAGTTTTATTCATAGAAGATATTGATCATTAAAGAAAGTTCATCAAACTTACGATCAATAACAATGTATAAAAAATTCTGAGCTGTAACGTATACATCAGCTTAAGCATCTATTGAAGATGGACAAATCACGTTTTTCATATTAGATGTAAATTCTATGAGCAAAATAGGCAATTTAGCTCAACTCAATAATGAAGAACTACAAAAAATTTCCAGTCAAGCTACATAAAAAAAGATCTTGAGCTTTCAGAAAAAATTTTATGTTCACTCAACTGTACAGTTATACTTAGGTTGTTACTAAGTATTTTTCGTCCTATTTTCTCTACTTTTACAGTTAATTCTTTCTCACCTAAAATTTATCACAACAAGGAGTTAACTATTTTTACTTTTATACGCGCGGGTCTACTCTGTCATATGAACCAAATTGGAACCAATTTAAAGAGTGAGCAACATAGGAATATGTATAATTTCTAAGCACTTGTAAATGCAATATATAATTCAATTAGGAATATCAAAAAAACTCTACCTGTGAAAACGAATGCAATATTTAACGATAGTTAATACCATAAAGCTCGTTAGAAATGAAAAAACGCAAGAAGTATTGTTAAAAACCTCACGCATGACAATGAATACAATAGTGAACGTTATGTAATGAGATGGTAGCAAGGAAGAAAAAGCGATACTCCGTACTTCAATTGTACTTCAATATTTTGCTTGAAGTACAACAAAAAGCAAGCGAAATAAAAGTGAAGCACAAGTAAAATGGATTGAAGCAAAATGAAGTACTGGTTAAGTACAAGCAGAAATACAAGGGAAGTACAGTAAAGTACGAGTGAGTGTAGAGAAAGTACAAATGAAACACGGTGATGTCTCACTTTTTCTCCCTTGGTTGATAGTCGTTAAAAACACAATGATGCGTGAAAAAGTGTAAAAAATCTAGCATATTTTCATGAATTTCCTACATTTAACAAAAATTGATGACGTTTTCTTCATTAAACTTCGTTAGTTTGTCTTTTAACGCAAGTTTTAGCGTTAATTTCAACGTTCTCTTCGTTAAATGTCTATTTTATTTTTACATTAGGTATCCGTATTTCAGAACAGAAGCAACAAAAAAGCCTGCCACTTTCATTATGAACTAGTCCCATTGAAAACATTGTTCGTACAAAGTTTCAAGTCATAACCCGAGAGTCAGCTTGCAAAATGATCCAAGTAGTGATGAAGCAAGGGGTAGAGGGGGTGGCTCAGCTCTCTCTAACCCAAAATCCTGGCTTCGCCACTGAATTCGACGAGAACTATGGAGTTTTGTTGGAAAATTCAGTGTTGTAAGAACGAAGACTCTGAAAACTAATTCATTCTAGACTTTTTCATTGCTAGCTAGCATTCATCGAACCAGCATAGTCTTGATTTGAAAGCGATTTAATACATGAAGTAGTTTCCTCGTGAGCTGTTTACGTTTGTCAATAATAACAACAAAATTGGGAACTTTTTATAGATTGTATTTAGAATCAAATAAAAACTTTGAAGATGCATACCCAGTGAAAAACTTTTGAATGAAAATCTTTGAATATTAAATATGATGTCGATGTTTACTTAAATGAGAGAGAAGTGAGAAAAAAAGACATATGGCAAATATAAATGATTTTATCATCGAACTTAACAATCATGACTCTACATGTGAATAATTCATTCAAATAAAATATTGTTCTTCTTTCTGGTTTAAATCTGATACCTATAGGCTTAATTCTTCCCAGGCCTATTCATTATTAATCTCAACAAATTAATTAATAAATAAATAATTTCATTTTCTTAATATCTTTTTACTCTTTCGAACTGATATTTGACTATTCTCTGTTTATAAATATCATTTACATAGTGTTTTATATGAATCGTGTTGCATTTTAAAGGAACACATAACACAAATGGTTATTGAAAAAAATGCATTATAAAGATGTGAATAGTAACATAATGATAAAATCTTCAACTTCATGTGTAAAATTAACCTTCAGCAATTATATATGAAAGAATTTGATTTTAATTCAACAATTTGTTTCAATCGTTTAGTGAATATCATTTTGACTTTTATTAATTAAGATCAATATTTAACTAATCCTAATTAAACTTCATTCATTATCATTTTTATGTTAAATAGTTTCTTCCAGGAAAATAATTGATGACTTCACATTTAAAGAAGAGAGCGATACTTTCATTCCTTGAACTCATTTTCTTGCAAAGACTAAACTATGAGTCAGTATTTGAATGAGTATCTTCATCTGACTGATCAATAATGACACATATTGAGATAGAGTACTTTATTCTTTATCTTTATGTCAATAAAAGCACGAAATAAGGTATTAGTATCATTCTATTCATGTATCTGTCAAATAAATGAAAAGAATAATCAATTGAAGATTGATTTACAAGTGATTTATCAGTAATGATATTTCTTCATAATCACCCATAGATAGAAGTAGTAGATTAGCGTTTTTTTTTTATTGAAAAATAAAACATCTCAAGTTTCATATTCTAAATATAAAAATTTAGAAAAAAAATTCTATTGAAAATGCATCGACAGTCATCAGTTAATTTATTTTTCAAATTAGCATTGTTTTTGAAAGAATATTAATGTAAATATCTAAATCTAATTGAAGTAGTTTTCATCGAAAATTTTCATATTCACTTTCTAATGCTGATATTTATTTGTACATTGATTCAACTGTTTTTAATTAATATAGTGAACAGATGTTGTTTGTTGAAGAAAGTATGTGATATAAATGAATTTCTTGTTTAAAATTTGATAACTGTCGACGAAATTCATCGATAGTATGAATTAGAAACTGAACAGAAGAAATAGTTTAATATTTAGTTATTCGTTATGAAATCATTAAATGTGATCATTTATCTGTTGTTTTATGAAAATCAAATAGAAAATCACAAACTTTTGAAGTTTTTCTTTATATACAGAGATTTAATTCATTTTTTTTGTTTATCATGGGACACTTTTTTAGAGTAATGTGTTTTTTTACCATCATTGATATATTCAGAATAGTTTTATGGTAAGATTGTATTTCTCAAAAGATCAATACTGTTAAGAATATTCAACATACTGATAAACTCTATACTTGAATAACTATATACTACAATTATCTGTATTTGATCAATATTTATTAATTATGAACAGAAAATGAAATAATAGAGATTAGTAATTGAAAAAAAATTAGATTCTTCTTGTTTATAGTTAAAATTAATAGTTTTAGATTTAGTTGAAAGTTTTATTGTTTATAATACATTGAAAAAATAAGAATGTATCTATTGATCGATAATCTCTTTATAAAATTCAATATATTTAAGAAAATAATCGTTATACAGCATGCTATATAATTCATAAAATTAAATATTTTACTGCAATATCAATCACTACTTTTAATTATAGCAGCTAATACTTCAGTAAGAACAGTTGCACCAAGCAATACAATATAAAACTGATTTATTCAATTGATCATTTCACGGAATAATGATCTCATAAAAGCTGGACTGTCATGGCTGAATGATTATGTTGTTCGACATTTATCCACAAGGTGCTGTTTGCAAACCTCAATACCACGAGCCATGCAATGATCCTCAACCAGATGAAGATTTCAAGCAATTGAGCTCAAGAACTCTGTGATAGGCCAGCCTTCTGTTCAGCGCCACAGTTGATGATAGTTGTAGGAAATATTTCGTGCTATGCACTCTACCGTTAGACAGCATTTCATTTCACAAGGGAACTCGACGGCAGGGATATTCTTCCCTCCTCATAAAAGTTGGGTGAATAATATTTTCACTCATTCGAAATATGGCTATATTGAAAATCGTTAAGTATTTAAAGAGTTACATCAAATTGTTTTACGAATTTTCTAGTATGAATCAATGCCAAATAGAATAAAACAGAGAAAAACTATTTATATGTTGATTTAGTAAAATAGTGCTTTCTATTTATTGTACGTTCGTGTTTTGTACAATTTGAGAATTAATACTGATCATACAACGTAAGCCATAGTTAGATAGGGAAAGTATGAAACTGAATATTTTCGTTACATGAAGTTTTTACATTCATAGTAACAGATCAAACGAGAGAAACGCCTCTGGTCATAAACTTTAAGCTCTCGGTTTCAAATGATTATGCCAACATTTTAAACTATTGTAGTTTCCAAGTAATTTGCATAATCTTAACTGTATTGGTCACAAATGAAACTTTGTTTTTGCCTTGAATATCGGTGGAAACAAAAAGAAGAATTTTATTTATAAAATACTTTTTATTATCAAGACAAACAAACCATCGAACTCTTTGTTTTCCTTGAATGAACAACGTGCAATTCTATTTTATTAACTATTCCATTAATAACAGTTCTCATTTAACATATTGAAAGTGTAAATCAATCTTTGATTTTATTTTAAAAATCTCATAAAAAGATAGACAATAACTAATGTCAAAATTAGAATTACTCTCGATTATTCTCCTCAAAAATAAATACTAATAGTTAATCATAAAAGCATTAAACCAATACGCATAACCTTTATTCATTCTAAAAACCTTTTTGTATTATATAAGAAAAGATGAAATAATATCTGTTTTTTTAAATTTGGAATTGTTTGTTCTTGATTTCATTTGTTTTGAACAATTTGGCCACCGAATTTGGCCACTAAAAATAGAAAGAAAATAAATTATTATTCGTATTACTATCATATGATATTAACCTTTGTTGTTGATAGGCAATTGGGCATGAGATTTGACAATATAATCTTTTATTTCGGGTAATTCATTTATTGTTTTCAAAAATCGTTTCACATTAGAATATTTATCAACTAAACTTTGTTCGTCATCCAATAATAAAGCAGAATCAATGTATGAATACAATTGAAAATCAGCTACAGTTGGTGCATCACCAACAGCAAATTTTGTATTATATTTGCCAAAATAATTATCCAATTTTTGTAAATATTCCGATACAGTTGTTTCAACAAATTTTTTTCTTTCTTCTTTTGATTCTCCTTTTGGACTATAACAAACTCCACTTAATGCCGAGCGAAGATCATGAGCTTCTTCACATAACATCATCACTCGTGCTTCTTCATTTAGATTCTTTCCCATAAGACTGAATTTACGTCCAAGGTAATATAAAATAGCTTTTGATTGAGTAATTTTAAAATCACCATCAAATAGATACGGTAAATTAGGAAAATCTAAAATATCAATAAAATAAATGTAAGAAAACAAATAAATATTGATTTACCAAGACCAAGATTTTGTTTTTCACTAAGCCATTCTTGTCGACTGTATTCTGGACCTTCACCTTGTACATATAATTTGTCTGTAAACGGTGTTTTAGTGTAATGTAAAGCTAAACGAACTGGTTCTGCCAAGCCACGAATTGCCCAGTAGCCAAATACAATTTGATTTTTATCACTGCTCGATTTAGACATTTTTCTTTTATTTTAAAAACAATCTAAAATAATTTATATACAAAATGTTGTTAAAAGTGAATAGGGTAAACGAGTGTGATGTTTAAAGCAAATAATGTTATATTATTCACTCTTCCTCGTTGTGAAGCTTATATTCAGACAAAAAGCGAGCAGAAAAAGAAAAAAATACACGACTCAGTAAAAAAAACACATGATATTTGCTCTATATTTTTCTTTTCGATACGTCTTACTTTCAACCAAATTTATATGATACCGAGATGTTTTTGGCCTCTATCTACACTAGACAAAATTCATTTCGAATTAAAAATTGACACGCATCCACACTTACGAGTTTAATGCATCAATCAGAACTGAGAAACGGCCTCTACAATGTAGTTGAAGTGCATAATTCTAACACGTATTCACGAAATAAGATGTCGCTTCTATCTCTTCTTAATAATCAATGATCGACTAATGAAATTTATTAACAATGTATCTACCGTTCTAACTTATTTCTTTCAACTACTGATTCGTTAAATATTGTAGTATTGCTTATTCTTATGCTTCAGTCCCTATTTCCTTATATTCTATAGTTCGTCGCATTGAAAATGTCTATCTATTAATGATATAGAGCGATTTTATCAAGATACATTAATCATTTTAATTAGTAGATCAGTTTCTTAATTTAATGTTTAATTCATCGAAACTGTTTCAGGCCTAAATCTGGTCTAGTATACTGTCTTCCAGGAAAAAAATCGTTTTATTCGACCTTCCAAAATCAGATGCTTTTCTCACCATCCACATCTATAGATAAAATCACCCAATGAAAAAAAAACAACAAATTCGATTTTATTCTATAATAACACAAGAAAGTGAATAACTTAACGGTGTTCGTTTTGGGAGAAAATGTTTTTTTTTCGAAACGCATCATTAAGAAGATTTTTACCTACCTAGTCGACTTTCCCGAATGAAATCCACAGGGAATCCCCACAAATTATGAAATCTCTGGGGAGACCGTTATGGGACTCCCCAGGAGTTAATCGAAAACCGAGCAAATCCGCTGGAGGGAGTCCTTGAGAAATCCCTAGGGACTCCCTGGACGATCATTTGAGGAGTCTCTAGGAATTTCTCAAGGACTCCCAAAAAACTTCCTCCAGCAGATTTGGTGGGTTTTCGATTAACTTTCGGGGAGTTCCATAACGGACTTCTCAAAGATTTCACAATTTGTGGGGACTCCCTTGGGATTTCATTCGAGAAAGTCGACTAGGGCTGACAACAAAGGAGAATAAAATGGAATAATTGCCGATGACACGTATCACAACATCGAGTTCTTTATTTGTTAAATCAATGACATAAAAAGAATAAAGAGCTGTACTATTGAAAAGGAAATCGTTTCGAACAGATCTCTGGAAAGTTTATCTCAAACTAGAGATAGTATGTTCGAATCAGAACAAAATTAGAAATCCTCTGATAAATTATCACTTCAAAGAACCTATTTTCCGATATCTATAACTCAAAATGCATCAGTTACTTTCCAATCTGTTTTAGGAAGCTTGAGTTATTACTCTTTGATATCTTGCCAATGTATCGAATGCCAATTTAGACAAAAAAAAAATACAATAAAGTATCATTTTTGGTAATCTATTAGACCCTAGATGACTGATGTTTTTGTTATCAGATTATAATTTAATTTATGAACTTGATTTACAGTGTTGAGCTGATAATTCTTATGGTACAATTTAGGTATAAAAAAAATTCCAAATTTAATACACCATCGAATGAAAAATTTCTTGTGATAGGACGCTCTCTGTAAAAATTTTTTTAGACCGAAACCGTTTTTTGTTTGTGTAGCTTCCTTAATTGTTGCTATAGTAGTTGTTTCCCGCTTGCAAAATAGCAAGTTTATACCAAAGTTGCCGCTGATTTGTTCTATTTGATTTTCTTCTATTCTTTTTCAATATCTACTTGTTGTAACTGTATTTTTATCTTAATCAATATGCTTCGAATTTCTCTCTAATAGAAAAGTATAAAAATGTCGATCATGTGTGCTCTATGTCGTCAAATAGGAGAAAGAACTCAGTCGACAACAGTAGTTAATGTTTATGTTGAAGAAAAACTAAAAGAATCGTATGAAGATATACATGATATCCCTTTATTGACAGAAATATTCAATCAACAAATACGCACAGATAATACTATGAGACACCATTGTCGTTATACATATACATTCAAAGACAAACTATCATCAGCTAAAGTACGAAACTGTTTGTCAACTCATCATTTATTACCTGTTGCTTGTACAAATTATGAATTTCTATCATTATTGATACCAACAGCGCCACATCAACCGCTCAACATTGTCAACAAAATTTCGTCAATGCGGCCAATGTATTCTTCGACTTGACTTATAGTACATATGTTAAAAAACGTCATCATTTATGCTGAACTGCAATGAAGAGATAGTTTAATTCGTAATATATTTCACAGAAAGAAAAAAGATGAACTAATCCATGAAAAAAAGTTTGTAGAAAAAAGAACGGTCGAGGACGCGTTTTTTTCAAGTAATAAAACGTGTTCTGAAGTCGGTTTTCACGTTTTTTTTTTGAATGCATTCTTTCGCGAAAAAAATGTATGCTGACAATAATAGAACAGGGTCACATAGAACACGTTCGAACATGTTCCGTAAGGTACGAGTTCATATAGATGAGAAACGCAGTCAGTAAGAACGGATCCGAACAAATTCGTAGTAAAAATGAGCACGTTGTTTCTCAAGACAAACTCGTTCTCATTGAACATATTTCTCACCAATATGAACTTGTTCTTTATGGAATACGTTCGAATGTGTTCTGTGTGATTTTGTTCTATTATTATCAGAATGCGTGCTCGGCCGTTCTTTTTTATAAGCTTTTTTCATGGGATGTGCTCTTGCAATTTAACAAGACTTTGTTATCTGTATTTAATATCAATTTTTTAGTTGCTAATACCGGTGTCGTTATTACCATATAGTTTATTCTGTGACACGTTCCTACGCACACCATGTGATAGCAATTCGTGTATGCACACCTATTTTATAAACTTTCATGTTTGACTGAGAAGTTGTGCGATGGTACACAAAGTGAAAACGTTCGAATAATTTTGTCGTTTGTGTTTCAACATATTTTATATCTCTTTTAGCTTACATTTGATGTGTAACTAAACCAGCAAGATTCATTATATTTATGACTATCGACCTGTAATTCATATTTCTTAGCAAGCATACTTAATTTACATCTATTCCTTTTTTATTTATTTGACCCACCAGGTGAGGAGAAGACTCATTTTTTATAAATAGACCTTAAAACACAAGATAATTTCGTCGTGTATTTACGTTCGGTAGTAGCTAGATAATTGCTTGGCTGCGCACGCCTTTTTGTTTATGTATAACTAAAGAAAAGAAAAGAAATACATGAATAGTTCATAACCATAACGAATCACATTTTAGCTATTTCTTTGTGCATGCTTATCTCTGATATTCTTCATGATACACTTGATACAAAAAAAATGAAATGAGCGATAGACAACCTCTGTTAAACGCATTCACTAAATTATCTATCGATGATGACGATGATCATGGGACCAAGAAACATCCTTTAATCAATAGGTATGATCTAATAAATTAGCAATCTCGAGAAAAATATAATGAATTTACCATTATTCATAATTTTTCTGGTTGATGCCAACGCTTCAGTAGAAACGAAAACAATTACAATTACATAAAATTAGGTGATGATACTGAACATAATGACAAAAATGAAGCAGTTGGTGTTTTCCATTTAGTAATTGGATTGAAACGAAATACAAACTGAATGATGTATTTGATTTTATTGTAGTTTAAGTTTGAAAATCATATCGATTTTGTCCTAATGTCCATTGCAATGCGTTTGGCAGTGTTGCATGTGATCTGAATTGTCGGTAATCTAATTTTCTTTGGTCAGCTCACACGTATATTCCCTATTAAGTCATTTGGCGATAATCGTGATCATCAATACCAAAATTTAATAGTTCCAATGAAGGTCAGCAATATGTATCCTCAAGGCATCAAGTTCAATACAGTGAAACCTTCTTATGTGAACAGCTCTCTAAAATAGACCTCTTCGTATTGTGGACACCTTCCGATTCTTCGTCCCGAGCTGTTTTTGCTGGAAATAAACTTCTTCAATGTGGACACCTCGCTATTCTGGACTGTTGAACACTTCCTTTCGGTCTCTTCTGCAGTAGATAGCCTCTCAATAATGCACACTTGTTTAATTTCACCATACTTTTTTTATTCAGTGAAAGCTGTACATGTATATATGTCCTAATTTGATTAATATGACGAGTAAAAGAATCGATAGTGGATAAAATTGGACGAAACAAAGAAGAAATTAGAGAAAACTAGAATGGATTAGTCTGAACAAAACAAAAGAAGAATAGACGAGTGAGAAAAAGAACAGTAAACAAGATAGATATAAAATGCAGTGAAGAAGTAGGAATTGATCATTTCTTCATTTATTTACATATGAAGCGACACGAATTGATTCTCAAACACAAGATCTCATTGATCAAAGATAACAACAGTGGTTATGATCTTTCGGTACATAAATTAGCAGAAAAGTACGCAATCTCGAACAGCAGCGTCGTCAACACCTTGACTCGCCGCACCGAATATCAGAGTGACTATCTGAATCATACTAACAAGAGTATCAAGCCCAAATTGAAGGATGAACCAAGCAGATATATCGATGAAGTTCTCTTCGAATAGTTCATGGCTCAACGAGTAAAGAACATTCCGATAGCAGGTCGATTATTGCAAGAAAAAGCATGACAAATTGCCGAAGAACTCGGTCTTCTGCCAGGCGAATTCAAGACATCCAGTAGATGGTTGGAAAAATTTCGAAATCGACATATGATCGGATACAGACAAATCTCAGGTGAAAGTGCAAGTATATGCACAACAACTACGGAGGAATAGAAACATCGACTTTTGACAATGATCAATGGAT